TTCCGCGATACAGTCGTCAGGAGATGTGACGTCTGTCGCATTCACACCTTCCGTGGTAGCTTGAACGGCTCCTTTGTCGCTGCTGAGCCACACTGGCTGATCTCTTAGCTAGAGTTAAAAATCGTTCCCTAGTCCCACCTACAAGTCCATTTTGGCGTAGACAGCCGGTGGTTAAACCCCTGCCTTGTCTTTGGTAGTTTCCTCCCGACCTGCCGTTTGCCTCAACGGACTATTCTTCTCCACAAATTCTTTCATTGCACTTTCAGTCTTGTGGTTGATTTCTTCTGAAGGTAGAGGTCGCATGAAGTTGACATTTGCAAACTCCGTGCTGGGCTGAGGGACAGGAGAGTAGCAATTTTCATGAGTAAAATACTTGGCTGCCCATTTCGTCACTCTCTTCAACGACTCCTTAGTAATTATTCCAAAGTCTTGTGAATGCTGCAAGGCGGTGAGGGTCTCATGTTTTAAGTGGGAAGCTGCGTGAAGATTCTCCACTCTATTGTAAGTAATGTACACAATCCAAGGTCTTCGAGATAGTCGTTATTAATTGAAGCTAAGCTGTTTTTCAGGCGGCGCATTCCTTTTCAGTTTCGAGAAGTTTAAGTGAGACTTGAGTTTTAGTAGACACTCTTCCTTGAGGGCCGTTGGTTGCTGAGTTTTCCTTTATACTGTGCTCTTGTTTCATCTCAGAAATGGTCTTTGGGATGTTCTCATTTACATAGGATACTTCGTCTACGGCGTATCGAAGAGATATGCGTGCTCTCTCCATGCTTTGGGCTCTGATACGAAAACTGTTATTAAGACTTCCAAGGTTTGTAAGAACGAAACAGTACCACGGAGTCTCGATGCTAGCTTAATGCAAACTGTAGCGCCTATGAATTGGTATCTGGTATGAACAACCTCAAATGATGAGCCAGCACAAGGATTTCCTATTAATATTTTAATTCTGAAACGAAAATACATCATCCAAGATTTAAGTGTCCCTGTCTGAGAAAGTGTTCCAGGAGCCAAAAAAGGTGGTCAACCGATTTGGCTGTAAATTGGCACAAAAGTTGAGTGTGATAAGATTTTTCAAAAGCCACTTTAGCTCACTTTTCCGACGGTTTGCTCTGGAGTTTCTGGGAGGGTTCCATTTATGGTCTATGGAGCACCAAAAATTCATCCTTCTAGGTGGCATTTTGAAAGTGCTATAAAACTCCATTGGTAAATTGCGCTACCAAATGAATTTGACCATGGACTCTACTATAGTGGAGCTTTTACTTCATAAATGTAGCTTTGTTCTCAAGCGATTACACGGAGAGGGGCCGAGGACTAAAGTTAGGTCAAATCTGAGGTCAAAATCACTACCCACAATTCCCATTTTTCAAAAAACTATAACATTCACCTGCCTTCTTGCATTTACCTTTCATATCAAATCCAGTATGTACTTTAGTGACTTATTTATCAAGATCAGTTAAGAAAAGTTTGGCCTATTAAGGTTTGTTAAGTTTTTGGCACAAACTCTCCATGCCCCTCTAAGGTTAAGCAAAATGGAATTTTGAGCATAATTCATGCTATAAACACACCAAAGTCTTGACATAAAGCCTTCACTTTGTATTTGGTGACTGAAAATGAAACATTAAAGCCAAATCAATGTCATTATCCAGAAATACCTCGACTCATAGCTTATAATTACTCTAAGAAGGCCTCTGATTAGCTTTGCAAGCACCCAGCGGTTTAGCAAAATAAAGGTAATTTTTTTCCTATGATAACCTAGCACCCATCATAGAGCACAAGTGATGATGTTCTGACCTAGATATGGCAATATTTTTTCAAGATGATTGAATTTTCTCTGATCTATGTTTGTTAAGTCATATTTCCATAGATATTAAACTCCAAGTATGCAAAGTCTCTTTATTTTGTCAGGCCGTTTTTTACTTGAAAATAAAGTGACCTTAACCCGGCCGGCCTTAACCACTAAGCTCAGAATAAAACGATCGTTAAAAGATGATCTACGCCTGACCTTTGAATAGACTGAATAGCTCTCGTAAATACC